CTATTTACTATCTATTTGCTTTAATTTACTATCTATACTAAGTAGATCTATACTTTCTCATTTAGGTAGACATCCATGTACACGTGATGATAAAACATGTCTAGGTTTTCTTTCATGGATGTTATAAGTCCTTGGTCCCACCAAATCCTCTGAATGGTGACATCAGAGTGAGTATCTGTGATGACATCACACCATTCAAGACCAGTTATGGCAAGCTGTCCCTGTACCTGCCAGTAGTATTTGTGAGTGGGTTTCAGCATGGCCTCACCTCCACCTACTTTAAGATGTTTAATCTCCATGACTGATGCCACGTTGCAGCACTTCACCTCTGCCAGTCCAAATGGTGGTGATGCTGTAGGGTCGTAAACCCTCGCATCTGGGCTTGCTCCAAGGTGGGGAGCATCTGGATGGATGATGAATCCACGCGCTAGTACTGATACATAGCATGCATTGGAGTACTGTTTTAACACTTCAGACTCCAGTTCCTGTCCTCCTCTCATGTCCTGGGTTTGTGGTGTACCTTTAAGGATTCTTTTTGCCAGGGCTTGAGAAGAAGATTTTCCACGGACATGGCACGCCTGCTCATGAAACCTGCTTGCTGTGACACGGGGCCGGCTCACCTCAAACCAAAGCTGTGAGCTAGACTGCTCCCGTGTTGTTTCTTCAATCATGGCTGCTTGTGTGGCGGTCACTTTTAGGCTTTCCAGGTGACATTTCTGTTTGTAGTTGGGTGTGAAGTCAAATTTAAAGTAAAATCTGTAATTCTCAATGGGCAGTTGTGGGTACTGTGGGGCACCTGGGTGCTTGATTAACTCGCTGTTACTTTCAGGTGGGCACTGATATGACAAAACTGAGCCATATGGCACAGGACCAAATCTGGAGTCTACCATGAGCAGCTCCTCATCTCGATTCAGAAGTGACTTGCATATTCCAGGCTGTGGGCGCATGTTTCTCAGTTTCTCTGCAAGTTCCAATATGTGAGGGTCAGGAAAGGGACCTTTACAACAAAAGACAAAACAGAAGACTTAAGTTACCTTAAGGCATGTATGAACTGTTACTCAGTTTTTTCCCATGTTTCTTAGTATTATATTAGGTAAGCATTATATGTTGAGATATATGTTCTCAGGTAAGTAATGTATCTTCAGACCATTTCTCAGGTAAGCAGTGAACTTTCAGACTGTTGCTCAGGTAAGTATGGTACCTTCAGACTGTTGCTCAGGTACGTATGGTACCTTCAGACTGTTTCCCAGGTAAGTATTGTACCTTCAGCTCATTTCTCAGGTAAGCATTGTACCCTTAGACCGTTTATCAGGTAAGAATTATTATACCTTTTGACCAGGGGTGTCCAATCTTAGCCGCATAGGGCCGGGGTGGCTGCAGGTTTTCATTCTAAACAACCAGCAGCACACCTGATTCCACTGTCTACCTGAACAATATTTGAAAGATGTGGAAACATACTGAACCTCTTAACAACCAAGCACTGCTTTAGTATGATCGACAGGGTGGCAAATTAACACCAGAAACTTGCAGAAACATTTGGCTGCTAGATTTGCTTCAGTACAGGAGACTATATGTGAGCCACTGGATTACTTCGCTATCAAATTACACAGAATCATCTTAGGCTTAACTGAACTGTTAAGAATAAATATAAGATAGCTTAATGTCGTTTAATATTAATTTGTCTCCCTGTTTTGTTCCCTTCCTATTTAAAACACCTACACTCTGTGGGGCTCCTCATTTTTCCTCATAGATCGATGACACCTAGCCCTTACTGTCACTTCCTCAGCAATCGTATTTGTACCCCTCGAAAAAGAGTTTGTAACCCTTTTCAGCTTTTGCTCGTTTTGCAACAGACACCTCATCTATGATTCGAGAGATTTGTTATCTATCATTGCCCTCTATCTAGCTAACTGCTAACTAGCTAGTGCTAGCTCACCTGTTTAAAAATAATTACTCACCCTCGAAATTGAAGAGGTACCTTTTTTGTTACGCCGACATCTCTCAAATCTAGCAGCCAAATGTTTCTGCAAGTTTCTGGTGTTAATTTGCCACCCTGTCGATCATACTAAAGCAGTGCTTGGTTGTTAAGAGGTTCAGTATGTTTCCACATCTTTCAAATATTGTTCAGGTAGACAGTAAGCTTAGGGTCACCTAACAAGTTACAGATATAGTAATAAGTGAATGGCTAAAACATGGCTATGTATGTTTGGTGACTCTCTATTTTCTCTGAGCTAACAGTATGCATGTGCTTCGAATTATAGATGACCCTTCATGCCACCCAGGTTCCTGCAGAAGTATTGAAGACATCATGCACCTGTGTTGCAGGGAAGGCTTTCTGCAATCACCTTATTGCTCTGCTTTATCAGAGTGCCCATTACAGCACCATGGGCTTTAAAACAGTCCCTCTTCCTGTAGCCTGCACCAGCACCTTGCAAACTTGGCACAGGCCAAGGACTCAGGTAAAACTGAAGAAGGGCAGCATCATTTCCTTTTTGGTTCATTCAGTTCAGTGCTCATAACTAGAATGTAACATTGTGATTAATTCTAAATAATGATCTCCAGGGAATACAGCCAGAAGCAACAGGTGACATGGAAGTACGGAAACCCAAGTCCACCAGCAGAACAGGTGTGAAGTCCACACTTTATCAAGCATATCCAGGTGAGTCGATAATAGTATTTCTTAGTGAGTTCTGTATGGGGAAGATTCTGTGCTAGATCTTAAACAAATGAAAAATATGTTAAATGTAATATACAAAGGTGTTTAGTATAAATGAGCCAATCTGAAAAACAAAGCATTCTTTATGTAGTTCTGATGTCATACTGAGAAACAATTAGCAGGGATTTGCCTTTTAAGAACTAAATGCTAAATTCATATCAGCCATGTAATATATCCTGAAAAGTAAACATTACAGATACATTGTAATTCACTTTGATTGTAATTCATGCTTAAAAAATGTAAAATACAATTTCATGTTTTAATTTAATGGCCTGATTATTTCCATGGAGGACACACTAAAAGTTTTAAAATACAATACATACCTGAGAAACAGTCTGAAGGTACAGTACATACCTTAAAAAAAAAAACAAATCTAAAGCAGAGGTGTCCAATCTTATTTGCAAAGGGCCGATGTGGCTGCAGGTTTTCGTTCCAGCCGAGCAGAAGCACATGTGATCAGTTGTTTGAAGACTGACCAATTGGTTAAACGAGTGGAATCAGGTGTGCTGCTTGTTGTTTAGAATGCAAACCTGCAGCCACCCCAGCCCTATGCGGCTAAGATTGGACACCCCTGGTCAAAAGGTATAATAATTCTGACCTGATAAACGGTCTAAGGGTATAATACTTACCTGAGCAACAGTCTGAAGGTACCATACTTACCTGAGCAACAGTCTGAAAGTTCACTGCTTACCTGAGAAATGGTCTGAAGATACATTACTTACCTGAGAACATATATCTCAACATATAATGCTTACCTAATATAATACTAAGAAACATGGGAAAAAACTGAGTAACAGTTCATACATGCCTTAAGGTAACTTAAGTCTTCTGTTTTGTCTTTTGTTGTAAAGGTCCCTTTCCTGACCCTCACATATTGGAACTTGCAGAGAAACTGAGAAACATGCGCCCACAGCCTGGAATATGCAAGTCACTTCTGAATCGAGATGAGGAGCTGCTCATGGTAGACTCCAGATTTGGTCCCGTGCCATATGGCTCAGTTTTGTCATATCAGTGCCCACCTGAAAGTAACAGCGAGTTAATCAAGCACCCAGGTGCCCCACAGTACCCACAACTGCCCATTGAGAATTACAGATTTTACTTTAAATTTGACTTCACACCCAACTACAAACAGAAATGTCACCTGGAAAGCCTAAAAGTGACCGCCACACAAGCAGCCATGATTGAAGAAACAACACGGGAGCAGTCTAGCTCACAGCTTTGGTTTGAGGTGAGCCGGCCCCGTGTCACAGCAAGCAGGTTTCATGAGCAGGCGTGCCATGTCCGTGGAAAATCTTCTTCTCAAGCCCTGGCAAAAAGAATCCTTAAAGGTACACCACAAACCCAGGACATGAGAGGAGGACAGGAACTGGAGTCTGAAGTGTTACAACAGTACTCCAATGCATGCTATGTATCAGTACTAGCGCGTGGATTCATCATCCATCCAGATGCTCCCCACCTTGGAGCAAGCCCAGATGCGAGGGTTTACGACCCTACAGCATCACCACCATTTGGACTGGCAGAGGTGAAGTGCTGCAACGTGGCATCAGTCATGGAGATTAAACATCTTAAAGTAGGTGGAGGTGAGGCCATGCTGAAACCCACTCACAAATACTACTGGCAGGTACAGGGACAGCTTGCCATAACTGGTCTTGAATGGTGTGATGTCATCACAGATACTCACTCTGATGTCACCATTCAGAGGATTTGGTGGGACCAAGGACTTATAACATCCATGAAAGAAAACCTAGACATGTTTTATCATCACGTGTACATGGATGTCTACCTAAATGAGAAAGTATAGATCTACTTAGTATAGATAGTAAATTAAAGTAAATAGATAGTAAATAGTAAATTCTGTTTGCTGTTGCAGTATTTTTTTTGTTTGTTGAAATTGAATTTTCTGAATAAAATTGTATTCTTTATTTTGAATGTATGAATTTTGTCTTTGTTAAATGAAGCACATAAGCCATTGAGAATTATTTGAATTTTTTTTTTTTTTTTTGCCATTTGTTTACTGCATTAATTTGTTTTTATTAAGTGCGCATAGAGAAACATTTGACTATTTAATTAACTTCAAAAATCAGATACTTTGGGTAAACATGTTCACTGAGAAAGTACTAATATCTTTGGTCATGTTCTGATAACTGCAGATATACTGTTTAAAATCAGTATATTTGGAATACATTTTTATTGGCCATACCATTGCAGAAAAGTCAGTCACTTAGAAAAAGTCTGTGACCTTGAATACAGCGGAAACAAATAGAAAGCACCAAGGACAAGTGGGTTAAAAATGTATCAGATTTATTATTTAAACATTAATTCTAAAATTGTGGACTGGAATAATTTAAATCCATTGAAATGACTTCATACTAAAGTTGAATTCATATAGCGTTTTTCATATCCAGTGTTGTTTAACAGAAGCAACATCAACATACAAAAACATCCTCTGGACAATAATAACAGTAACATGAACAAGTAAAGAAACTATAGTAACTCGAGTTAGAGTGATTGAGAAAAGTGGGCGGTTTAAGCTGAGCTTGTAAGAGGTTTTTGTACAGAGTCAATTAAAATGAAATACATTAATCTGCATTGAAATATTCTAAAACCTGAAAATGACTGAATAATTACACCCATTGATCAACACATGAGTTCAAACAGGTTTATCCTCCTTGATGTCCAGGGGACCCAGGTAGTTTGACATCAAGCAACAGATGGCCCAAAGTTGGTTGACTGAGCCTGTGAGAGAAAGTGGGACAACCCCATCCCAGATGTGGTACTCCTTCACTCTTTGGATTGCCCTTTCCACCAGCACTCCTAGACGTGCTATAGCTTGTGTCTTCTCAGCATCTTCCTTGCTGAATTGAGCAGACTTCTTGAAGGGGGGAATGATCAGGGTGGCCCCTACTTCTGCTAACATCCTTTCAATCTGAAAGCCCTTATCAGCCATTACTCCATCTCCTGGTTGCAGCAGCCTGGTGAAGTTAGACCTCCGAGTTATTTCCTGATCTGAGACAGATCCGGTGTAAAGCTGGGAAACAAATGTGATGATGCCACATGGAGCAACCCCAACCAGTCCCTTGAATGTTGTGTGATTTTTATAGTTTGAGAAACTTTCAGATTGTAGAGTGAGTGATGTTGCTGTCTCACAGCGGACCTCTGTGCAGTCAATCAGCACACGGACCTCTGGGCAATACCGGCGGAAGTTTTCAGGCATGGTAGCTTGCACCTGCTGTCGAGTCATCCATGAAGGTTGAGAGCCCAAAACAAGGTAAAAATAACTGGTCCATGTTGTGATGATGCGGCTAACTGTTGACAAACTGACCTTGAACATTGATGCCAGAGCTTGTTCCTTGAGTCCAGCAGCAATGCGGCAAAGAAACAGGAAACATTCATCAATGAGGGGCAGTTTGCAATGAGAACTGGGTGTTCCATATGCCTCCCTCTGTGCCTTGGTCCAGTAAATGATTCTAGAAGCTGACGGTGCAACAGACTCCCAGAACAACACAAACATTTCCTCGGAGGGGAATCGTGTGAAGAAGCGGAATTCTTCATCAGTTGAGCAGAAATGATTCATCTTAGGTTGGTCTGTCAGGAATGTAAGCCTGTTTATTTCGTTCTCCAGCTCCATCACTTTCTGCTCAAGCTCCTTTATCCTTGCAGCGGCAGCATCCACTGTTCCTGTGACAAAAGAAGGAAGACGTTAGCCTATAGTTTTACTGTGAAGAAAAATGTGACTAAACTTAAGTCAAGCTCTGTACTTGACATTTATTGATGTGGTAAATATAAATGTGCAATGTTTATCCAACATACATATTATTTGGTATCATATTAATCAATCTAAGTGTGTGTGTGTTTTATTATTTATATATATTTTTTACATATTATTTTGACTGTTTAGGAGGTGATTATAATGCTTATTCTGATCCAGTTATACAGGTAAGTCCTGTATCTTTAGACAGTTATTCAGGTAACTTAAGTGCTGTATCTTTAAACTGTTATTCATGTAAGTCCTGTATCTTTAGACAGTTATTCAGGTAACTTAAGTGCTGTATCTTTAGACTGTTATTCAGGTAACTTAAGTGCTGTATCTTTAGACTGTTATTCAGGTAACTTAAGTGCTGTATCTTTAGACTGTTATTCAGGTAACTTAAGTGCTGTATCTTTAGACTGTTATTCATGTAAGTACTGCATCTTGAGGCTGTTTTTCATGTACGTATTGTATATTCAGACTGTTTACTATGTACATTGCATATCCAGTCTGTTTAGTAGACAAGTATTATATTGTTTATCCGGACTTTTTATCATGTATATTCATATATGAGTTAACGTTACTTACCAGGAGATGGTGGACGCCAGTAATCGTGCTCCATAACATGAGCAGTAGGCTCACACTGCATAGCCTCCAGTTCCTTCACATCTCTCTCTCCCATGGCGGCATCAATGTTGAAACCGAGACGAGTACTTGTCCTCTCGTATGGCGCCTGACGATTTTCCTTCTGACTCCCAAAATCATTCCAGGCAAATCGTGATGGAACCGATCCCTTCTTCAGTCTAACCCTGCTTCCTCCCTCTTTTACATACAGCTGCTCGGGCCTGAAGTGCTGGCTACACACATATGTACTACCACGCAGAATAGTAAATTGGGTACTTTCGTCTCTCCTAATTGCTGTAATCCATTTAACACGTAAATGTTTGTCTCTTGGGAAGTCGTGAAAACTCAAATGCGGTTGTTTTCTTTTGCTGTTTGAGCAAAAAGGTACGCTACAGTAGCACTTGCTATGCTGCTTCATTTTGTCTGTACCTCCTAACCACGCTGTTTACCCTGCTATTTTTTACTTCCACGTTCCAAACCCGGAAGTGTGAAAAGGGCCTATTGGCTTACAATCGACCTGCCGTGCAGCGCTCAGAAGCCGCCGGCTGGAAACAGCAGCTGTTTGTGTTAGGAGTGTGAAGAGTGACAGCACCGGTTCAGAGGCGACTGTACTAAAGTTCTCATAAACAACCAGGAGCCGCTTGAGATCCGCATCCAGATGGGTTCGCAGAGTTTTTACCTTGCAGAGGTTTTTTCTTACGAAAGTCTCGTGCACGCGGTGGCCGGAGCGATGGTAAACCACACACACACAGAAGTAGGGCTTTGAGTTGTAGTTAATGCTGGGTTCAAAGATTATGTGTACCTGCAAGCAACATGAAACGTTATGTCTACCTACATATCTATCTATCTATCTATCTATCTATCTATCTATCTATCTATCTATCTATCTGTCAGGTTTATGATGACATATGTCCAGGATGGACATACTTAACGGCCGTTTTATTAGAAACCCCACCTTGCTGGCTTACAGTTACAGACAGTAGCCCATCTGTTGGTGCATAATTCCTCAGATACCATCTACCCCTGTGGTTCCCCAGCTGTGGTGGGTGTGACACTGGGAGTGCGTAAAAATTCTTACGTTTGACATTTACACTCCTTTTAGACATTTAGTCTTCATTTCAGTACATTAGTCAGCCGCGCAGTTAAACAGATACTTCACTGATACAACACAAACTTTGCTCTCCACTCACCAACTGCTGAATAAGAGAACCTCAGTGTAACTGAGCGGATCTCTGAATACTGAGTTTAGTCTAAAACGCTGCATGTTGTTGGCGTGAATAAAGTGAGTGCCTTTTACTGTTTTTCCTCTTTTAGCTGACAAAAATAACAGAACAAAATGGGGAAATTAGTCAATCGAAAGCACATGGATAAAAGAAGTGAAACTACACAAATGTCATTACAACGAATGATAAAAGGGTCATAGCAATGCAAAAACAGACAGATAAATAAAAAAATAAAGGAGCAAGAGGGAAAAATGGAGTACAGTTAGATTAGAAGGTATTTCATCATGGACATATACAGGTTTTTTTTTTGTCTTTTTGCTGGGGTTTTTCATAAATGTTCAACTTTGAAGGAACTGAGTAAAGTCACAAATAAACAAATTGAAAGAGTCTTCATTTTTTCCATTTACAAATATATTTATCCAAAAGAATGATGACATTTATTAAATCATGTATATGTGGCTCCAAGTTATGTTTACAAAAGATAATATTAGGACATTAAAAAGGAGACACATTATTCATTTTTAAAGACAACCCACTGTGTACATCTCTCTAAAATTGACTGGTGTAACATCATTGAAAAAAGAAAGCAGGTGTACGGTTGTCTCTACAGCAAAAGTACACCTCAAACAGGTTCAGTGTCTAATTTAGATTTCTTCAGAAAAAGCTCACTAACTAGGTAGATGTGAAACATAATTTTGTAATGTGTCTCTTTACCCTAAGGAGTAACAGGCAATGACTGATAAAAGTAAAAGGCTTTGTCTCTCATTGACGCCTCAACATCGGGAAGTAGGAGAATGAAAATCACCAAAAAGAAGGCATTTAAACTTGTTACCAGTCAGTCTGTTACTACAGATTCCTCTTTCAACTAAATCGAAACCAAACAGCTTTAAAGAGGGATGTCCTGTTTAAAGTGATAAACAGGTTATTCCAAAGTATAGACTCATGGGGAGAGAAATTGTGGGTAAATATCATTTGTCAGAAAAATAAACACCTGCTTATGAAAATGTCATAATTTTAAAGAGATTCTTGAAAGTTGACAGTCACACAGTTGACAGCAAGGAATTTGAAGGCACCAACCCTTTCAAAAATTCTGTTAGGTATATGATACCATAGTGACTGTGGTTTAGCAATATAATCTCTCAGCCATTTAACCCTGAACATCCCAAGAAGAGATCAAAATCTGGCTTTTGAACCTTGTAATCTTAATTACTTGAGATTCCTGTAAATAATGTGTTTTATTCGTCTACTAAAAATGAAATGTATTAGAGTTGGCTGTTTTAATTGCTAAGAAATATCTAAAGATATTTAGATATTTTTTTCAGTGTGGTGACACTAGTCAGGCGTGGATAAAGAAGCCTCGATACACCCTCTGTTTTAGACAAAAGAAATAGACAAGTCTCTACTTAACCAGATTCAGCTAATTTTTTACTTTAACTAGGAAGTTCCTTTGTTTGTTAGCTGTCTTTGTGAGTTAGTTTCACTTTCACAGACTTGTGCACTTGTGAATAACCTTTTCATTCTGTGTTATTCAGTGTACATGGGATGAAGTGTCAGCACATCACAAATGTTTAATGATTTAGGGGCACTGATTTTATAAGGCTAAATGTCTTGCATTTGAATCATGGCAATATGTACATGCGTGAGAGGGGATATGCAGCAAATGGTCAAATGTCTGAAGGGGTACAGGACTGTAAAAAGTCTGGAAAGCACTGCAAGCTTAGTAGTGTATGTGGTGCTGGTAGGAGTTTATCAGACACTGTGGTGTTTGTGGGTTTTTTACACTCATCAGTGTCACTGCTAGTTTAAAAGTGGTCGACAACCTGGAAAAATCCAACCAAGACTGGCTCTGTGGTCAGAAATCAAACACTGATGAAGGCACAGAGGATGGCTGATACAAACCGTGCATCAACAGATGGGCTACTGTCTGTACACTAGCACAGTAGGGTTTCTAATAAAGGGGCGGGTGAATGTAGACATAATTAAGATTGCTCTTCTTATTCTGCAGTAGAACTACACATTACCTCCTGTTCCACAGATTGACAGAGCTGTCACTGAGCACTGAGAATACTGACATTTGACATTAAGAGGACAGGATTAACCATTTTTACACCTGTGGTAAACGTGCCTGCTCTCTTACAGCGGTGCTGCAGTAATCTTTAGAATAAGATTTTCTGGTTTAAAGACTAGGAAAACCCTCTTCTGCTGATGTATTTTGAAGGTGGAAGATTTTTTTTGTTGTTAATTGGTTGAATAATTTCCTTTACAAAGAAAAAAATTGATATTATATATTTTATTATATCCATAATGTTAGCTAACACCCTGATCTATTTATTAGCCTCTAGATTAGTGACTAGCAGTCTGGATTTGATGAGCACTGTAGGAATTCCCTTCGGTTGTGTGATGTGTTTGCATAGTGCATACTGGGTACTGTAGTGAGAGAACAGTGATGGATGAAAACATTAAAACAGTTCTGTCCAATAAGGCCGAGAGGTGCGATGCTTCACTACAGAATACTACAGAAGGTAAATAGCATATAAAGTGCTAGTTTTAGGCTGAAATATCCCTTTAAGTGATGAATTCAGAAAGAGCCCTTGAAGCAGTAAAATTGACAAATAGAGCAATTGACTTAATAGATAGACACAATGGCCCATTGTTGTTTATTATACATTAATGTAGTTCAGCTGACTCACAGAGACCATACATTGAAGTGATGCATTTGCAATTAGCTACATGTGTTTAAACTGTTTCTTGATGATTTACTGGTAATAGTGAACATGTTTCGCCAATGTAAGTGTAACTATTTAGATTTTTTTTTGGATTGTGTACATGTGCAGGGCAGTGTGGCAGCAATGACTGTGTTTTTTCCCCTGGACACAGCGAGGCTTCGACTGCAAGGTACCACAGTGATTCAGCTCCTATTCATACTTCCACCATGTAGTCAAAGTAGACCAACTGTGCATATAGGTCTTAGACAAAAAGCAGCCAATTATGCTGTAAAAAATACTTTCAAAACATTTCAGTGCATCATGGAAGCTCAAATTTTGTCACCTTTCTAATTTTCTTCAGTGGCAGTCCTTTTTTTATTCAAGTAAATCATCTTCAATTTTTAAAGCCCGAAATAAATGCAGTCGAGAGCGATGCATCACAATGCGCTTATGTATTCTGACCAACTCTTCAAATCTGCTACAAGATAGATAGAGAGAGAGAGAGAGAGAGATAAGATATAAGCTGAAATTCAAAAATGTGATAGTCGAAGTTTGGATAGAACCTGACCTATCCCAACACTGCTGCACTGATGAAGGAGTTATCAGTTCTTTCAGTAGTATTTAATTTGTACACTGTGTGTTGTGTGTTACATGTTTGTCTCCTGTTTTGCAGTGGATGATAAACGGAAAGCCAGGTCCACTCCAGCTATCCTGGCAGAGATCATTAAGGAGGAAGGCCTGTAAGTCATACAGTGCTGATGTCTGGATCTGGAGAGGAGAGGGGAGATTATAGGTTATTCTGCTGTAGCTTCTCTTAGGCCAGTCAAGAGGGCAACAGAGACTCAGATAGCCTTGTCTGTAAAACAGGGCCCAGTTTCCCAAAAGCATCTGAGTGCCAAGATCATCTTAATTGGTAGAGAGAGTGTTCAGTGTAATACTAACTCTACAACCTTGTGCCAAGATGCTTTTGGGAAACTCAGCCCTGAACAGTTATTATTCCAACAGCCACAACAATAAACATGTTCACAGTGGAGAAATTGTGCTGCTTTAGTTGTTGTAGAGGTGAGAAAGAAAAGACTAAATAGAAGCTAAGGCCTGAATTGATCTGAGAAAAGAACAAATAATGTTTAGTCTATCTTAACCAGCCTAAGACTTGTGTTGCATTATGAATTCCATTTTAGTACCCAATATCCAATAGTGGAGTAAGTGTAGGTTGAAGCTGCATGTTTTTCTCTTAGGGAACAAACTGCTACTTCATAGTCTCATAGAATGACACTGTTATCAGTTTATAAATCTCTCTCTCTCTCTCTCTCTCTCTCTCTCTCTCTCTCTCTCTCTCTCTCTCTTTAGTTTAGCTCCCTATAGAGGCTGGTTTCCAGTCATTTGCAGTCTCTGCTGCTCCAACTTCGTCTACTTCTACTGCTTCCACAGTCTAAAGGCCACATGGCTCCAGGGCCAGAGGTCAACCCCAGGGAAAGACCTAATCATCGGCATTGCCGCAGGTCAGCTCTGTCAGTGACTGGTGAAATTGAAGGGGAAAAACACCTGGTTTATCTTAATTTCAGTGCAGTTTGGTCTTGATAGGTCAAAAAAGTCATTCAGAGTGGTTAGATGAGAAATGCTGCGTTGTAAAGTCTCATGGTTTCCCTAGTCTTGCTGGGCCGGACGTGAACTCTTAACAAGAAGTCCGGGGACACTTGTTAAACTTTGTGGCTGGTGCTGGCTTGAGGTGAAATCTGACGCTAGCAAGGGTACGTCCCCTCTGAAGGTATAACTCAGGGGTCGGCAACTTGCGGCTTTTTTACTGCCCTGTTGTGGCTCCACAACAGAATTAGATTTTTTTGATAAAAATGAAATAATCCTCCTTTGCTGTAAAATAAAGCTCTGCTGATCATTCTAACAACAAAGTCCCCAAAGAGTAGATTAGATTATATTTACTAGATTAAGATTTACTACTACTTTGCCATTACTATCAACACAGAAGACACATGTAGGTTCACTGGTGGTTTTGGATATGGCTAAACTTGTGTTGTAGACATCATGACCCCTAGTGCTTGTCACCACCACTGTAAAGAAATCTGAGTTGGTAATAATATATTAATATTAAAGCACTCTGAAAGCCTTTGTTCACGTTTTAACTATTGAGTTATAGAGATTTCTTTTTAAATCTGTGAAATTCCTCTTTAAACAGGCATGACGGTTAGAATTTATTTTAACACATTTTCCCACAAATACTTGCAACAACTGTGTTGTTGTGAGACTATTAAATGAGCATTTAGAGTAAATTAGTGCTGTTTTTATGATATTTTGTAGCCTATTAGTGTGTATGTGTTTGTTTGTATGTTTTCATGGGCAGGTGTCGTGAATGTTCTTGTGACGACTCCGCTCTGGGTGGTCAACACGAGGCTCAAACTACAAGGGGCGAAGTTCAGGAACGAAGACATAGAACCCACACACTATCGTGGGATTGTAGGTGAGTAAATATTGTCTCTCCTCCGTTGATGAATTTCTAACTTGTTGCTGTTAGTCTTGTTTCATTAGAACATATTCTTGTTATGTGGTTGTTAGCTGTTTATATTTGTACGATTTACTAACTCTATTCTAGTAGACAATGGAAAAGACAATAGTCATTAGTAGTCTGTGTAGTATGTCTGTATATGATGTAGTATACATCAAGACAGAAAAATGGATATTCTGGACTTCTTGGCAAAAATTAACATAACTAGACCTCAGTGGTAACACTTCCTAATAACCGGTAAATAACTGTAAATGTTTTTCATCAGTGTGTTATATTTAAATGTAACAAGTAGTAAGATATCTCTTTATAAACACATTATGAACTTTAGAATAGATGTCCAATTAAACATTAATATATTATTTTATGTATAGAAAATAAATATATACACACATATTAACCACTGATTGTTAAGGAAATGTTTAGGGTTCACATGTAGCAGGATGTTAAATAACTAAATATTATTAATAAAGGCTTAATATTTCAAGTCATGCCATATATGAATTATGAGTATAAAATTATTAAGTCACAATTAACAAACCATGATTAAAAATTAAGTTACTACAACTTAAAAAAAGGATTGATTATTTGTATTATATTATATTATTTGTATTATATTATATAATTATTAACAATAATAAACACATTATTATGTAATAATTCATTTGCTGTTTATTAGGGCCTGTTATTCAAAAGTGTTCCCACCTCAATTGGCAAATAATCACAGTTGAAATTACAGCCACAGTATTCGCCAGAGAAATCATTGTCCGAATCATTCAGCCCAAAGCTGCTACTGTTTTCAGCTATGTGACATACTTTTGTCTATTTTTACAAATAATTCTATGTTATAGTGGGAAAAGTGCATTAATTTAACTTTTGGCTGAAATGAGACATTCAGTTACAAAAAGCACTCTCTGCATTTCTTTGTCTTTCTGTGCCCTGTGAAGATGCATTAGTGCAGATTGTGCAGAATGAGGGAGTGGGTGCTTTGTGGAATGGGACATGTCCCTCTCTACTACTAGTGCTGAACCCTGGCATCCAGTTCATGATCTACGAGGCTCTGAAGAGGCAGCTGAGAAGAGGAGTGCATAGAGAGGTGGGATCACATACACCCCACCAACTACACAAGCCACCAGTCTATCAGAAAGACTCAGCACACAAGCGCACTTCGTAGATTTACAGTTACAGACTGTAACTCTTCTGTTACTTTGCATATATTGTTACCCACCTCTACCCCGTCCATCAGTGAAAAGGAACCACCATAGGACCACCTCTGACCAGATATTAGTGGAGTAGTGGGCCATTCTCAGCACAGCAGTAACACTGACATGTGTGAGGTACTGTGTATGGTGCTGGTACAAGAGTATCAGGCACTGCTAGGTTCAGAGCACTGCTTTCAAAAACCTCTTGATAGCAGTGGTCCTCTGGTGGTCCATTACTACTGATGGATGGAGTAGAGGGGTGCTGACACATTGTGCTGCAACAGATGGGCTCATCTGCTTCTCTTGTAATTATGCAGTTATCATCATTGGAGGTGTTTGTTATTGGAGCCATAGCAAAAGCTGTAGCTACTACAGTAACATATCCACTACAGACAGTACAGTCCATCCTACGGGTAAGACATTAACATTAATTCTTTTATTAAAAATATTATCTAAGAATGTTTTATATTAATGGTTGTTGTGGCAACACCTTACTGTTGGGCACTGATTGTATGGCTACATGACACATACATAAGCTTGTCATGACAACTGACTTAAATCTACATGATCATTTATAAACACTTACTCCAGTAGGCATCGTCTGTTGTAAAGGCTGCTTTGGTCAAATTTATTGTCAAGTTGACAACACCTATGTCAGGTGACTACACTTTTTTTCTGACGTTGATTTATCATGACACATTTTTGGGTGTAGTGATATAGCATGTTATAACAGTTGACTTTGTAGCTTAGTCACAGTGACATAATGCTGATAACTTAATAGTTTAAAGGGGAATTTAATCAATTTTTCTGAATAATTAAATCATTGAGATGTAAACAAGGTCATTCAGTGTTTTGATGTCAAATGTTTCATTCTAAAGAAATTTACAGACTCAGATTCCTTTACAGTGGTAGTGACAGAAACCAGGTGTTGTGGTGTCTCCATCACCAATATAGCTATTTTATTAACTATTCAAAACCACCAGTAAACCTACTCTTGTCTTTGGAGTTTTTTTTACATGCAATGTTGATGACTGTTAAATAGTGACAGAAGACAGGGTTTTATTTGGGGACTATTTTGCTTTACATCTTACACGTACCTCTCAGCCATGAATAAATTCAAAAAAACTATGTTTAAGGCCAAAATCTAATCTCAAAACTATTATAAAATAAAGTTTAAAGAGGCGTACTTATTTACCTTCTCATGTAATAACTTTCTGTGAGGGGGCTTTAAGGAGCATTGAACTCCTCAGATGTCTCGTTCCTATCAAAACAATGACTCAGTGAGTTTATCTAGAAAAAAAACCCTTTTAAATCTTTAAAGTGGTACATAAAAACCTGCCTTACCCAAGAACCACAGAAAATTCTTACTTTTGTTAAACTTGACTGACTTCTGTCCATTAGCTTTGTCACTGTGACATACACTGAGTTATGACATTTCACCCCAGAAAGTGTCGTGTCATGACACTTTCTGACCTTATGTCAGGAAAAAGTCACCTGACACAGCTGTTATGTGAACTTCAAAGTTGACAAATGCAACCTTTATGACAGATGATGCCTATTAGATTAAGTGTAAATGTTTATGTAGGTCTGTGGCACGAAGGGCTTATGTGAGTGCCATGTAGCTTTATAAGGGCTACCCTACTGTAAAGTGTTACAATTTTAATTTAAGGTTAAGGACGGAATGAATGTGTGTGTGCATGTGTGTGAGTGTTGGTGAGCTTAAGGTTTACTTTGAGTTAGGAGTAAGTGTGTGTTATGTTGATTTCTAGTCTTTAACTGATATGTGTTGGTCAGTTTGGTCAGCACAGGCAGCCAACAGAGCAATCCAAACTACTAAGCAGCCTGAGGAGTGTTACTTACCTGATCATCAACAGAGTCAGGTAAATACTTAAAAACACACATAAATCTAGAAAGTTGTACATTTGGGGTATTTTCCACATATTTGCACATTCAAAACCAAGAATTAATCTGTTGAACTGATGGTGTTTGTCCTAGTTCATTATCCACCTCTTTAAGAGTCTTAGCTGGAACAGTCATAGTAACGATTAACAGTTTAATAGACCACTGTAGTTGTGCGTCATACTACATGCGAGCTAAAGCTACTGCGCATCAATTTGATGTCACAAAGCTACACGAAACTAAGGCGGGCTGTGCCGGTGCTCTGACGAGCTGTGCTACCTTATCGAAATGTTCTACTGTACCGCATATTTACAGGTATACCCCTAAATAAAACCTCTGGATAGGATATTTTGATAGACTAAAACTCCTTATCAAAAATACTACCCGTGTTAAACTTACGAGGCTGAATTTAGCTTCTTTTTCACAGCTTCTTGTTTGAATGTTCTTGTTACACCTTAAATGGTGCAGCAGCTGTGACTAGCTATCACAAACATTAGCAAACAAGACAAAATACCCAGCTGTTAAGCAGAAACAGAGAAACCTCCTCATATCATGCCTTTCAACCCTCCATGAAGCTGAAGTCAGTTTTTTTTGCCGGCTGCTTGTTCAGATTTCCCCGTTCCACCTTAAATGGCACAGCAGTTCAGAACGTGACTGCTGCACCACTTAAGGTGGAACGGGAAAAGTCAAACAAAAAGCTGACGAATGTCCTGAGAAAATGTCCTCAGAAAAATGTTACCAGCATTAAAAAAATAATTAGGATATTCTGAGGGCCAAAATCAGTTTATCAGAGTGATAACCTGTTTAAGGAGGCTGCCAGTCTAATGACGTGCGCAGTAGCTTTAGCTTACATGTAGCAATATTCATATTTCCACTCTTTAATGACCTCGTAGTTCAAAGGATCCAGTGGTATTCGAGAGAAGAATGTTTTCAGGACAAAACATATCGGGAAAAAAATTATTTAACACAGGGTGCGATAGAGGTGATTTTTCAAAAACCCCATTCATTCTGGCCATAGAGAAACAGAGCTTAGACCCGGAGTTCCTAATATGGGCATAAAAGCATGGCGCCGACTACAAAATGACGACACAACTACAGTATCTATTGTTGTTTTGGTAAATTTCTGCCACTCTGCAATAAAATGTCCATATTTACACACACTTACATGTAGAGACAAGCAAAGCTATCTTTTTTCTTTTGAGAGTGTGAACTGATGCATTAGCTGTCCTGCTTACTAGTTGTCTGCGCTTAACAAAACTTGTGCTGATGTGAAATAATTGTGCGCTCACACAAATGTCAACAGTTACACAGAATCACATGTAGAATCAATTAAGCATTTAGTTCACAACAATGATACAAAAGTCTGAAATATGATTTTTGAGCTAAACCTTTGCTTTAATTTCTTAATTTTTATTTGTGTGTTTTGTGTTATAGGAGGTCGGGTATACTGGGGCTGTTTAAAGGCCTGGAGGCTAAACTGCTCCAAACAGTCCTCACTGCTGCCCTCATGTTCCTGCTGTACGAGAAGATCGCTGCTGCCACCTTCAGGGTTATGGGAGTTAAGCGGCCTTTGACCTCACGCTGAGCTCTAACACTGACCTCATGAACATTGCTTTAATTCAGCAAGATGATGAAGATGAAGATAAAAATGAAGAGGATGATGATGACGATGATGATGATCTAGGCTGCGATGGAAATCCCTATCTGTGTTCTAAGGCACTGTAGCTCTATTCAGATGGGATTAGTTTTCCATGGGGAGGTGGAATAATGTCAGTTGACCACAGGACATCTGTAATGTTTATAACTGGTTCACAAGAGATAAGAAATCTCAGTGTAAATGACAGAAATAGCTACTTGATTTATGCACCACCTTTACTCCAGAAAAGAGGAGAAAACATTTTAAAAAGCAACACAAAAAGCCTTTTAGTCCAGGTGGTCATCGTGGTCGTCATGACGTAATCGTGGGCAGATCATTTTACGCAAACATGCTACCCAAACAGTATAACATTAGCTAGGTTAGCTAGCATTGATTGTGTTCCTGTACAGTGAACCCCTTTTTTACAGTTGTAATGTCAAAATGTTATTCTGGTGTACCCTGGCAATCAAACACTGTGCTACAACAGCCATATTTTAGTTTCAGTGCACTGTCACAACAAACAGTGGGAACACAATGTGGACTGAAGCTTTGATTAAACTTGAACAGAGCTGAAATGCTGTGTGTGTGGTGTAGCCCTGTTTACTTCTGCTGCAGCTGCTCACATCATGCAGTCTCTGTGTCTCTACATAATTCCAGCAATTTCTGTAATATTTATGTTTTAGAAAGAAAGTGGAACTAGTATATGTAGTTTGAATGTGATAGACTTTGTTTAAATTTAGCTAACTTAAGTTGCGCTAGCTAAAGCTAACAATGGCTATTTCCCAGCTGACATAAGCTTTCTGCATCACATTTACCAGCAGAGTTTGTACTCGTGTCTGTAAAAGCTAATGCTACGTGCAGTTAAACATCAACTATGTAATTTCTCCTACATGTTGGTAAGAACAGCTACCACAAGGTGGACGTTATCTGAAGTACTTATTCAAAAAATTGTAATGAAACGAAAAGAATCGTGCTCTGTGGCAGATCGCTAACACAGCTAGCTAGCTAGCTAATATTTGCTTCTCATATGAAGCTGGCCTACCTTAAACTGCTATGGTAGGCTAGCTAACTAGCACCTGTAGCCTGCTAGCCTATCATTAGCTACAAGATAGCTCAAACAAATTCTGTCCAAATTCATATTATGCTAAATTCACATTACACAGAGACTGCTCTATGTTAGCCACTGGTACAAGCAGCTACTGAAAGCTCTTTTGTTTAGGAACATAGCTTTGGTTAGCATGACTTCTAGCTAGCAGTAAACAGGGCTTTACCAGACATACAGCATTTTAGCTCTGTTTAAGCAGATATATATAATGTTATCATCTTCAACTTCAAGTTTGGTTTAAGTTAAATCAGTCCTTCCATTCACCTTTTATTTTCACTATTTATCACAGTGCACAAAAACTAAAATATGGCGGTTGTAGCTCAGTGTTTGCTGTGGTGCGCTAACAATTTGATATCCTTTCTACAGTAGTTATATGGAGCGGCTGCGCCCTTTGTTCACCCTGACGTCACGTCACCTGACTTAAACCTAAAACAGTATACTGAGGCGTTTTCTAAGATTTGCTGGCAAGCAGACATTACTCTTTAAAAGAAAACACAACCAGCTACCAGATTGTGTTTTTGCTACATTTTTCAGTTATTCATTGGCATTGCTCTTTAAAAACCTTTAATTTAGCCATTAATTTGTTTAGAATAACCACATACCTTGCTGTCTTAAGTGAATGCAGTGTGTCATTAGCATTGCCATTACGTTGGGAAATCAAAGCCAAAAGTCAGTTTCACCACTTAAAATGAAACTTTTTATGCTGTAATTTGTACATGTTCCAAGTACATATGAGCAAGACAGCAATGTTACATGTCAAATACAAGTAAACGCTTCTTTGAGTGCCTCCATACAGACAGCATTGTCACTGACATGTTGTTTTGTATGGGATTAATATAACCTGGTGTTTTTTCTGCAGCTCATTTAATGGAAGGCAAAAGGTGCTGGAATCTTTACTGATACAAAAGTACGCAGCTGGTAAAAATGACATGACGCATTTGTAAGGGACTAAAATCACTGAGACATAATCAAGTAAAAATTACATTACCCCACCTCCTTATAAAAATTAATCCTGTCCAAATGGGGCTTATGATGTACATTAGTAATTTTTCCCCTAAATGCCTGAATCCTCAAATTAAATCCTAACATCCATTTCAGTACCAGTTTTAACATGTCTTCGCCACTTGGCCTCACCATTTCCCCTCAGCGGAAACCCTAACGTCATCTTAAAGGCAGTTCCATTACTTTATTAGCTCAAGAAAATTGTATTAGAAGGGTGAAGGATTGATTGAACATTAAGTCGACTTAGTAGAACAGAAATCATTGCAAACCTGAAGAAATTGGTGGACGAAGCTACTTAGAAGATAGCAGTGAACTACTTTAAAATGTTTTAATATATTTCAAAATTTGATCATTTAATTTGCCCAGCTTTAGGTTACAAACTGTTCCGTCGTATACATTACTGCTGTGCAACTTTATTACTTTACTCTGCTAGCTTGGTGGTTAGCATGCTAAAGGCTAAATGCCTAACAACAACAAAAAGAAAGGCAATAGAACACAGTCCTACACCAATGTTTATAGCTTGACTTAGCAATTATTTGCAAAATGTGATGTACATTATGTTCAAACTTGTTTAAAAAAAGCTTGCAAAGTTTGCATGGCTAGCTGATTAGCTCACTGAGGTTGACCTCCTGATGGGGGCTGCACCTGAAAAATCTGTTCCTCACTGTCCCGGCCTTACTTTTTGTCACAAGTGGCCACCTTGTCACCACTGTAATGTGTGATGGATATCCCAGTTTTGAGTTGAAGTGAGTGAGGGTATATTTTAAAAGGGTTTCAAAACAGGGTTCTATTTTGAGGGCACTATTATCTTCCGCAATGAACTAATTTCCATTCAACACTGTGGATCACTTCATTAGCCTAATACATACCAAAACTAAGCCATGGACAGAGGAACAGTACCTAACTCTCTCTCAACTGTTGAGAGAAACACTGTAAAACTAGCGGCTCTGTACAGTTCAAAACAAAAACCCTAACACTTTTGCTGACTGCTGCTCATCGTAGAGAGAAAACAGAGAACTGTAGGTTACTGCAGTCATGGACCAAGAATTACACATGTAGTGTAGTCAAGGTCTGTGGTTTATTCTCGGTCCTCGTCGCCTGTATCTTTCAAAGCCATATGTCTGTATCATGGGTGTCCGGTCTTCTCTGCAAATGGCTTCAGGTTTTCATACCAAACAAGCAGGATATGATAGGGCACCTCTGGCCTTTGTTTACAGCTAAGGATAAGAAATTCCAGCCTTACTCAAGCAACTAATGTTAGTCTGTTTATACAACTCATGAATACTGATGTCGATGATGATGAGTAAGTGTAAAATAAGAAGTTCATGCCTATATAGCACAATACTAACAAGAGTAGGGATCCATTTCTGTCACAATCCTGGACTGTGCCTGTTTGTCTCTGACTTAAGTAAACAAAAAATAATGATTTATTCTTTTTTATTTCTGCAATGATTGATAGATTATTCTGTTTACAAAAACATATTCAGGGAAGAGAGGGAGTTGCATAAAACTGTAGTACAGAACATGCCGAGAAACAGCAGGTTTGTTTTAATAAGTTTAGCACCACCTTCATTAATGATACGTTTCAAGTGGTGTCCCATGAACACAGCAGGACAACAGCATGTTTAATCAGCACACAGATCTCGTTTGTTTACGCACTATTGATTAGCGTGACTGTGACTTGTCAGCTGTAACGTCATTGACATCATTTTAGTTCCACACACTGAAGTGAAAAATGATACAGTTAATGAATGTGTTTCATTTTCTTTGTTTATTTGTAATTTCACCTGCTTTCAAAAGGAATCACTTGCAATATTAACACTTTGTTATTTTAGAGACTTGTTATTTTTATATAACTTGTACAATGTGAATCTAAATATTAAAAACTATTTGTCAAAAGATTTCTTTCATTCATTGTTAAAAGATATATAATATGCTGTATTTCATTACAAACTCAATTCCAAAAAGAGCATTCGTGAGGTCAGACACTGATGTTGGACAAGGGCCTGGCTTGCAATCTCCATTCTAGTTCATCCCCAAGGTGTTTGATAGAATTGAGGTCAGGGCTCTGTGCAGACCAGTCAAGTTCTTCCACACCAAACTCACCACCCCATGCCTTTATGGACCTTGCTTTGTGCACTGGGGCTCAGTCATGCTGGAACAGAGAAGGGTCTTCCCAAACTGTTCCCATAATGTTGGAAGCATAGAATTGTCCATGAAGCATTAAGATTTCCCTTCACTGGAACTAAGAGGTCTAGGCCAACCTCTGAAAAACAGCCTCATATCATTATCCCTCCTCCACCAAACTTTACAGTTGAAGCAGTGCAGTCAGGCAGGTAACGTTCTCCTGGCATTCACCAACCCCAGACTTGTCCATCAGACTGCCAGATAGAGCAGTGTGGTTCATCACTCCACAGAATATGCTTCCACTGCTCCAGAGTCCAGTAGTGGTGTGCTGTACACCACCCCATGCATCTATTGAATGTAGCTGCCCAGCCATGGAAACGCAGTGAAGCTCTCTGTGCACAGTGTGTGCTGGTGTTAAAGCCAGAAGAGGTTTGGATCTCTACAGTTACTGAGTCAGCAGAGTGTTGGCGACATTTATGCACTATGCACCTCATCACTCGATGACCCGCTCTGTCACTTTGTATGCCTTAAAAAAAAAATTTCATTATTTTCTAAATATTAAGTCAGCATTTTGATAAAATAATTCATTATTTCCAAATGCTTAGTTAATATTTTGACAGCAAAAGATGACGTCCCCTGTCTGGTCTGTAGGAGTTTAAGTTACAGGTTTATTAAATTGATCATGGATTTGCAGTTCACAAATTACAATATCAGATTGCCTGGACAGACTTTGGTTGGATTAGTTGTGAAAAAGTGCTTTAGTGGGTGCACAGAATTTGGGCTGTTTTTAACAAACCGTATAAATATTCAACTGCATTGCCGAGTAACACAGAAAGAACTTAAATAGGTCTAATTCCAATCATCAAAAACTTTTTTCAGTCCTGTTAAGAGCGATTACATGAATTGCAGTTTTAAAGACACTGAATGGATTATCTGGTTCACTTAATATTCATTAATGACTCGACAGTTCTGCTGCAGTTGAAAATTGTAATAGTGATCTGTTCTGCTTCTTTCGTGTCTTACAATATTATTTAAGATAGCATAAGATCATTCTAGCTTACACATTTAAATTTAACAGTGTTAATACTCTGACTGCATTAGTGAGCTTTATTTTAATGAAATTAGTTGTAGTTTCTTTGTCCACGCGTTTTTCACATGATGTGATTACACAAAAGCATTTGGTTATTCCTACCAGTGGCATTAAACACCAAAGACCGTCAGCACCATCTAGCGACCACTGAAATACTAATATGCACATTTTCCAAAGCAGGACTATACTAAGCAGGACGTCAGTTAGCTTGGCCAACAGCGTGGACGTAACTAGCATAACTAGCGTGAGGACGCGAGGTCCGGATTTCGGTTGGTTCATAAACAACTTATGAGATTCAACGTGGAAACAGCGACGACACTAAGTCAGCAGTGACAGGTTCTCAGCTGACTTCAGAACAGCTGTGGTTTGGCCGGAGACTGAACTGCCCGCTCAGTTTGTCTCTGTACGAGACGCTACACTATCGTTATCATCCAGAGTGACTGACTTTTTGAGATGTTCAGGTGTGCAGCACGCATATACCGCTAACTATCGTTTTGTCTAATTCCTGTAGTTGCTCAGTTTAGATGTCAGGTTGTGAAACGTCTTCCTTCCTAGATATTCCACGATCTACTGTGAGTGGTATTATTGACAAGTGGAGGTGCTCCGCAGAAAGCAGGAGAGGCAAAGACAGGAGGAACAGCTCCAGCAGCTTCAGAGAGAGAGGAGAGAAACGGAGCTGACAAAGACAGAAACAGCGCAGGAGAGAAGGGAGGAGAGGCAGAGGAAGTTAATTCAGCCTAGTGATCAGTGCATCATTTAGATGATAAACTAGGATTCGCGGGTCATTTTAAAGCCATATAAGTAAGCAGATTTTCCACAAGGTGCACTACTAGCTCTTAGACCGCTGTTGTGAGTCTCACTGAGAAAGTTCACAACTGCAGGTTTGCACTAACTCCCGTATGTATATCTATGGTAGGTCTAGGCTAAACAGCCTGGGAGAAAGCTAACAAGCTAACAGACTATTCCAATATAATTGAGAGTTTGGCTTTCCTGAAGAATTCACGGTAAAACTCACATGAGTAAAGAATATTTGCTTCAAATGTATGTGTTTATGTACAGCTAGCTAAAGTAGTATTAAACTCTGTGTGAAATGAGTGTAAACCATTGCGAGTCTGATGCTAACACAACATTGAAGCTGTAACAGAAATTAACATTATCTTATCAGTAGTACTCAGATTAATTATAAGATATAAGATTTCTTCATTGCATGATGCTGTTTAATTAAATGCGCAGTATCTGACGTTTGATATTTCTCGAAATAATCTCAGAATATGGAGCCGATGGAGAACGATGAGGAGATCAGAGATCTGAAAGAGGCAGTGAGACTGCTTGAGAAGGAGAATCTGGGATTCAGAGAGAGAAAGGAGGAGCTGAAAAGAGAACTGGAGACACTAAAGATGAAAATAGCAGGAGATGAGACTTTGAAAATCAGACAGACAGAGATGGAGGCAATGAAGGAGAGAATGCTACAGAAAGAAAAACAGAAGGACGAAGAGAGGAAACACGAGATGGAGGGGCCATGGGCCGTCATCTGTAAGGAAATAATCATCAAGACGGAAGAGAAGATGGAAAGAGAAACAGAAGAAAAGAAAGGAAAACAGGGTGACGGGAAGATGAAGAAGAAGGAGAGTGAGGAAGAGTCACCAGGACATCTGCTCCAGGATATGGAGAAGCAGATGAAGGAGGAACAACTGAAAGAGAGGAGAGAGAGACAGGAGGCAATAGAGAGCAGAAAAGAAGTTATCACTGAGATGGAGAACCTGCAGGTGAGACTCGGGCCCACCTACTAAATTGGCCTGTAGAAAAAGAACACAGGGGTGAAGAGTGGTCGGGGTTACAGTGAGCCTCTTTCACCAACCGTTCCTAAGAAGACATTTCTTCTTAAAACCCACTTACACAGTTTTCTTGAAGATTCTGATGTTCACCAATGTTTTCTTATTTGGGATTTGTTCTTAGGTAAGAACAGAGTGTCCATGCACACTCAAGAGCACAAAGGTGTGAACAGTTCAGTGGTTTAAGAACACGTCATGAATCTGATGTAGACTTTTTCTTAGGACCTTTCTCAAGAACAAATTAGAGAAAAAAACTTAAGCAGATTTGGTGAATGAGGCACAGTGTCTTACTTAACACACTGTGCAAGAAGCTGCCTTTATGTGATTTTTTTGCAGGAAAAGTTGTCAATGAAATCTGCTCTTTTTCTACAATAATTCACAGTTTTTAAGTCAAGCAGTTATGATGATTCAACTCACTATTAAAATGTGTTGTTTCTAAGAGATTCCAAAATTAAATTTAGTATTTCATTTAATTCATGACACTGTATATTTTCATTTTCTCACCTTTTTTATCTCTGCTCTGCAGTTCCAAAAAAAAATCTCAAGTCAGCTTGTTCTAGATGAGGAAGAAGAGCTTGAGGACGAGTCCCCACCTCGTCCAATGGTGGAACTTTGAGCTCCGGTTTGTATTTTTAATTTTATGAGCCAAATAAATTGATAAACTTTTTTTAAAATATCTCTTTATTTCAGCATTTTACAGCTAGGTTCTCTCATTGTCCACATGGAGGGATGCTATAAAGTGTAAAGTCATGATGCGAAGGGGTGTCTTTATGGTTTTTTTTTCTTCCACAGACTGGGGTCCTGACTGTACACATCAGAAGCCACGGAGACTTCAGGAAAACCAGCATCCTTAAAGTTTGTGCCACTCTCACTACTGAATGTCTAGTCTGTGGGTTTGTGTTTGTGTTGATATCCATCCATGAAACTATAATCAGTTGATTTTGTCTGCATGAGTCAATTGTGTTTGGCTGTTTTCCTGAGCCCTGCACCAGCTCATATACAGAAAGGCACTCAATGTATGGTGAGGATCACTGTTGGGATAATGGTGAAGTGCACCATGCTGCGGACCTTCAAAGACAACATGACCTTCAATGAAGTGAAACACGTGTTCATATAGGTTAATATTGCTTGTTACCATCTGCTTCTTGTCAGACAAATAAGTAAAGTTAAAATTAGAGGTACTCTGGACATTGAATTTGCGTAGCACTCAAATGATGCTAATCATTCTTAGTGCCATCTTAAGGGCTATTTCATTACTGTATTTATACAATTGAATTTTATTAGATGAGCACTCACAGGGGTTGGGTATCAAGTGAATTTAAGTGTTAAGTGCAAATAAAATTAGCATTAAAATACTTTGAAATGCTTAATATTTTAAAACCATAACATTTCTATTTGTTAACAGTTCCATTTGTTATATAAGACTGCTTATACAACTTCATTACTTTATTCTTCTGTCTTATTAGCTAGCCAAATAAAGGCCACACAGCTAGCAACAACAAATAAAGACAATACACCATGATTCTAAACTAAACTTTACAAAGAAGTTACTTACAAAATGCAAGTTAAAGGGTAAACTCCAATGCTCACATCATATTTTTTATTTTAATTTAGATCATAATAATATTGTTTATCGTGATAATCTTGCAGATTTTTTTTAAATATTTTCTTATACAAATTACATTTTCATCTAAGCTGAGTAAGAAGTTGCAAAGATGAGTGAAGAAAAAAGTCCTTCTTGCCTTTCCTGTTTGTGTTTGCAGATCCTAAAGGAAGAGGCTCTAGGGGCCCGGGAGTCCAGTTCAGTGATGGTGGAATTGATCTCTTTTTATAGTGATTCAGTT